CGCCCCCGCTCGGCCTCTGACAAGCCGGCTGCTGAGTTTCCCTGCTTGCAGGCTGGCTGCACAGGGCTTAGACCCCCTCCCCGCAACATGACAGAGGGTTCACCCCTCTCCGTGCCGTTCCCCGCCGACCCCCCCATGCAGTGCGGGTCCCAGCAGACCTCCCAGCACCCCACCGGAGTATCGGGAGATACTCCGGCATATCTGATAATCCTGCACACCCTGGGTCCCAAGGATGCCGGATTATTGGAAGTCTACCGTACCTCCATTAATGGATCAAACCCAATAGTTAACTTTTCCTTCTCATCAACCAGTCCTGTATAAACATGCCAGCTTTTTCCCAAAAGACCTGTATGGTTCTGGGAGTGTCTGTTGCACAATTTCCTGTTTTAGGGCATGAATTCCAGTAGGCTGGGCAGTGTGTAAGACTTGTTAATGAGCTGTGTTCTCTTCCTTACCTTAGGTTGTTAAAGTTAGTTGTACAGAGATATAGATAGATTTTAACACACTGAATACAAAATATTCACATCTTGGGTTCTTACTGCTCTTTGACTCAGACTCTCCTGTCTGAAGGCAGCTGCAGTGCACAAACTGGTACAGGAAACAGATTTACTAGGTCTTGCAAGGAGGAAACGCACCTGCACTTTCCTGCCTTATCTGACTCTGACAGCTGGCTTGGAAGTTTGGAAGCTTTTTTTTTTTTAAAGCCTTTAATATCAATCCTCTTGCTTTATTTCTGCTTTCATCTTTCTCCCACTCAGGCAGTGGGGTCGTTTCATGTTTCTCTCTGTCCCCGTATCTATCAAATGCCTGCCAAGGCTGAGCCTGAGGCTAATCAGAGGCAATCAAGGGAACAATGGCAGGCTCTCAGTCCCAACTGCCACAGAAGCTGAAACTGAAACTGCTAGCACTCCCTGGAATCAGACTCAATTCACACTTCAAACTGTAAAATTCAAACAGTCAGGCACACACACACACTCACACCACAGCTTGTACTCTCACCGGGTAGCCTCTTCGGCGGTGGGGGCGCTTTGCTCTCCCTCTTCAACTCCCCTGTCTGCAGTCCCCTGTCCGCTTCGCTCCCCTGGTCGCACTGCTCTGGCTTTTTAAAGCCTGCTTGCCTAGGTCAGGCCTGCCCCCTTCTGAGTCACACAGGGGAAGGCTGAGCCTGAGGCTAATCAGAGGCAATCAAGGGAACAATGGCAGGCTCTCAGTCCCAACTGCCACAGAAGCTGAAACTGAAACTGCTAGCACTCCCTGGAATCAGACTCAATTCACACTTCAAACTGTAAAATTCAAACAGTCAGGCACACACACACACTCACACCACAGCTTGTACTCTCACCGGGTAGCCTCTTCGGCGGTGGGGGCGCTTTGCTCTCCCTCTTCAACTCCCCTGTCTGCAGTCCCCTGTCCGCTTCGCTCCCCTGGTCGCACTGCTCTGGCTTTTTAAAGCCTGCTTGCCTAGGTCAGGCCTGCCCCCTTCTGAGTCACACAGGGGAAGGCTGAGCCTGAGGCTAATCAGAGGCAATCAAGGGAACAATGGCAGGCTCTCAGTCCCAACTGCCACAGAAGCTGAAACTGAAACTGCTAGCACTCCCTGGAATCAGACTCAATTCACACTTCAAACTGTAAAATTCAAACAGTCAGGCACACACACACACTCACACCACAGCTTGTACTCTCACCGGGTAGCCTCTTCGGCGGTGGGGGCGCTTTGCTCTCCCTCTTCAACTCCCCTGTCTGCAGTCCCCTGTCCGCTTCGCTCCCCTGGTCGCACTGCTCTGGCTTTTTAAAGCCTGCTTGCCTAGGTCAGGCCTGCCCCCTTCTGAGTCACACAGGGGAAGGCTGAGCCTGAGGCTAATCAGAGGCAATCAAGGGAACAATGGCAGGCTCTCAGTCCCAACTGCCACAGAAGCTGAAACTGAAACTGCTAGCACTCCCTGGAATCAGACTCAATTCACACTTCAAACTGTAAAATTCAAACAGTCAGGCACACACACACACTCACACCACAGCTTGTACTCTCACCGGGTAGCCTCTTCGGCGGTGGGGGCGCTTTGCTCTCCCTCTTCAACTCCCCTGTCTGCAGTCCCCTGTCCGCTTCGC